ATGAAGGAGGGGGTCTTAATTTGGTTAAGAACTGTTGTGTGAAATGTACAAAAGGTCAACAAATAAAACTAAACAATAAAACTATTTTTAAAAAATAGTTTACTAGCCTTTGAAATCGACTATGTGATCACTCTCCTCACCCCTATGGTGGGAATTTAAACTTCACGTATCTGCCATTTCCTTTAATGATAATATCAGTGCGTGTAAGGCCCCACATCTCTGTCCATTAATAAAATGTATGAGATTTTTGCCACTGTATTCACATTTTGCTTCATAACAACATTCAGTGATAAAGTTTGAACTCTCCACAATTTGATCAGAGTCATAGATTATATTCCATTAAAGCACTAAATTACATTGTATATAAGGGCAAATGATTATATTATTTGGTAGAAAGGGATATATTCATATAAAAGCAGTTAGGTGGTTTTGTTTGGGGGCCAACATCATACTACTTAAAAGACTAACACGCCTGTGACTGTGACATCAATATCTAAGGAATATAATCTGTCATTCACTAAGATGCTACTATGCAGTGCAAGACCCTATATTCACTCACGCACACACACACACACACACACACACACACACACACATTTTAAAATCAATACAGAGATGCTGGTCACAACTTAAGGACTACAGATGTGAAAGGGTAAACTAAGGTAAACATATTGTTTATGTGAGCACAGGTTTGTTGAGATGACACTTTCCAAAAGCAGAAATAAGCATAGTTACACATATGTCTTTGTGTATGATTATTCTTGAGAACTATATGTTTCAAGTCTTCCCTGTTGTGTTTCCTCCAGGCCTCTATGCTCATATTTGTTTCATGCTGGTCATCTAACCATCGATCCCTTAAAGGAATGCAGCATTTTATTCTCCACAGCTGGACTTTCAAAGTGTAGAGATCTGATGGTCCTTGGACAGGATCCCTTTATTAAACTTCACCCACCCAAGGCTCAGGGACCATCAGGGAAGAGGGGGTGGAAAGATTGTAAGAGCCAGGGGGGAGGTACATGACCATATGGAAAAAGAGTCCTACAAGCTCCTAGAAACATTCATATGAGTCTATGGCAATGGTGTCAGCATACACAAGTCCCATGCAAACTCAGGCAGACAATAACCCAGAATAGTACTGGGAAAATGAACAGCAGACCTCAATGTTATCTGAAGGTATGTTGGCAACTGATTGCTGCTAGATGAAGAAAAGCTGATCGTTCTAAAACAAGGGACTCCAGATAGGCTGACTAGACTTAGTGGATGGACTTGCACTGGGAAACAGCTGGGGACACTGATAATCCAGTGGGCCTTAATAGGGATGACAGAGTATATGGACTCCAAGAAGGCGGGGTATGGGCAGGTACCAGTGGGGACGGGGATATAAAGATGATTAAGATTGTTTGAGCTGTTCTGTATGAAATACACAAAAAAAACAACAAAAATTCGAGCCAAAAATATATAATAGATATTAAGGTGCATATAATTGGAAGCTACCTGGTCAGGTTTCTACAATATCTTACAGACTAGAGGCTTCTCTCTCATTTAGTGATATACTATTTTAATATAATAGACATTGGCATTGGATTTTCACCTTTATTCTTCATTAACAGGAATCTTATTTTATTCTATTTTAAAATGTTTTATTTATCATTTTTACTTTTACATATATAAGTATATTGCCTGCATATGTGTAAATGCATCTGTGTTATGTAATGCCCCCAGAGATTAGAGGAAAGCATCAGATTCCCTGGAACTGGTGGTTGTTAGCCACCATGTGGGTGCTGGCAATTGAACCTGGGTCCTCTGTAAGAGCAGTCAGTGCTGAGGCATCTGTCCAGCTGAGGAATCTTATTTAATATATATTTGACTCTGATGTAACTTATAATAATGGAATACCTTAAAGGAGGCTTAAATTTATTGTCATGAATTCCAAATTGCATACTATAGATTTATTTTAACCAATTAATTAAGCAGGAATTGGCATTTAATAAAAACTCTTGCTTTCCTCCAACACCCATTAATCATTATATTAAATTTTTATGGCATCCTATCAACTTAAATATTGAGGGACTATACTTTCAAATGAATGTTTTGATTTATCTTCAGATATCTGCCCACATTCAGACCATGTCACAGCTCTGTGCTCCTGAAGATTCAGTCATGTGTAGAAGACACATGATCTCCATGCTGAGCAAAGATACAGAGTTTGAGAACCTGTTGGGCTAGTCTAAAATTGTTCACCATCCAAGAGGGGCTGTTCAAACTATGGAACCAGGTGTGAGATGGTCACAGTCATGTATGCAATATAAAATAAATAATTTACACCTTAAATAGAATCTAATAGGCATCCTGGACCAAGATCACAAAATGATTTTACTTAAAAAGAAGACTAGAAACTCTCATCAGCCTCTGAAGTTCACCATCATCCCCCTGTAATAACAGTATTTAGCCTCTGTTCATGTGTACCACATAAATTATGTATGGGCCCCACATTAATCTCAGTCACCAAATATCTATTCAATTTCTGATTCCTTTACTATTCAAAAGAGAGTCACATTTTGATGGGATTGGAAGATGTGCTACAAGTGTAAGCAGCTACGGTTGGAGAGATGGCTCAGTGGGTACTGTGCTTGCTGGGCAAGCCTGAAGATTTGAAGTCAGGTCCTCAAACCCAAACAAAACTGGACACTGTAGCATACCACTGCTCTGTGTAAGGTGTGAGGTGGAGACAATAAGCTCTAGAAGCTTTCAGGAAAGCAGGCAAACAAGAGATTCTCAATCAAGGAAGACACCAACTCTGTAGTTTGACCTGTAATATATATGATATTAGTAAATTGTGTGCTGTCTAAGCTCACTGAGAGTCTGGCTCTGGAGGCTCTGTTGCAACCCCCACTTAGGATCCATACATGTTTGGCTTAAAATATCTTCCAAGATCCTTTGTTCAGAGATGGTCTAACCACCCCTCAGTCCTGTGAGAATGGGAAAGAAGAATAGCAATAAAACTACAAAGTGAGAGCTCCATCCTTGCAAACAGGAGGGGACTCTCTTCGAGTGAGAACACTGTGTCCTTGACACACCTGGCAATTACAGGCATCTTCCCAAGAAAAGACCCAGCTGCTTTAGCACATGATGAACTGTTGTGGTAGGAGTGGGTAGGGACCCAGGAGCTGTTCTACCAGGGTAATTGTTCACCAGAGGCTCTGACTGACAGTTCTGCTTCTTGTGGTTTCCCTAGTTAGTTTCTGCTGCGTGATGTAAGCATCTGATCTCCGTCTTCCTTGCTGTTTTCATCCTTTGCTCCTGTATACTGCATACTTAATAAACTTTCTTCTTCAAAACTGCAAGCATGGCTATGAGGCAGCCTTCTCTGTATGGAGTGTCTCCACATATGTACCGAGGTGTGCACACAGTGTGACATTCATTAATACTCTCTCTCTCTCTCTCTCTCTCTCTCTCTCTCTCTCACACACACACACACACAAGCAAAGATTAAAAATAAACTGGAGTATACAACTATAACTACATATGACATAATTTAAAAATTAAGCTTAGAATATCATAAAATTATTCTCAGTTCTACTTCAATAAGTAAAATGCATGAACTGTAGGTGCTGAGTTCAAGACATAATGAGGCTCTACTTTCTGGCCATAGATTTTTCCATGCAGAAAATGAAAGGGGTTCCTTAACTCTTTTAAAATTTTATTTATTTTTATTTTATGTGTATGAGTGTATTTTCTGCATATGTGTAAGTGCACCTGTGTTGTGCAATGCCTACAGAGGTAGAAGAGGGTGTTGGATCTCCTGGAACTTGAGTTATAGATGGTGTTAACCGCTATGTGGGTGATGTGAAACAAAACAGGTCCTCTGCGAGAGCAGCCAGTGCTCTTAACTGCCGAGTCATCTCTTCAGTCTCTGTAAACCATTTTAACGTGCGACTATTATCAACTGGAAAAGTGACAGCATATGTGCAGCTATAAAGTATTGTATTTCATTTCATTTGCAAATGAAACAAAGCATGAAGATTTGATTAAACAATTGAATAGTCTTCTGAAAAGACCTCTTAAATGTTTTCTAACTGTGCTGCCTGCATTTTTAAAGTTACTTTAAAAAATGACTTTCTCGGAAAATAAGGAATTGCTTTGCACAAATTCATGTAAGATATTTAAAACTGAGACTTTTTAATTCTAAAGACAATATTCAGAAAATCTAAGAAGTAAGGATGTTTGATTTCTTTAATATGATTTTAACACTACCATAAGCAACCTAGGTAGAGTTATTTTGTGGGATTCCTTTGGTACGTCAAATATTTCAAACTTTTAAAGCAAATACAAAATATTTTGAACTCTGAATATTTGAATTTTGTCTAACAAGTTAAAAACAACAACAACAACAACAACAAAAATCCAGTGCTTTGAATGGATCACAGTTAATGCAAAAGGCAGTTGTCTTTGTAAAATGGAACCTTACACTCCTCAAGGCCCCAAGTCCCTGAGCTATTAAAGCACACAATTCAGTGCATTCTGACCTCCTTGTAAGAGTAATGCACCACTTTAACTCATGAAAAGGTTTGAACAAGTGAGAATCCCAACTGCTAAGTATTAGTCTATGAATGATAGCAAAATACTTACAAAACATTCAGATCACAAAATCTAAAGTTTTAGTGACGACAGGAAGAGTCACATATCTTGTGATAGCTTGTGATTCGTCACCATTTATGTACAATTTCTTCCAAACCTCTGTTCTGAGACAACATGAGATATTTAGTTAATGGAGAAGAGCAGTTCAATTGTGCTAGTTTGTCTCAGCTTCCCTAACAAGAGTTAAATCCCTAGGAGTACACTGACCTTTTACCTTTAAGGAAACAAAATGTATTCTGGAGGTGATATGAGGTCTTCAGTTATCTCTTTGGAAAGCAGTGCTTTCTGTCCAGAAACAGCAGGCACGTGTTTCCAGTTTACAATCTGTTCTTGCATGATGAGTAGAAAATCGTTTGACCTACCTCCTCACAGGCAGTTCTGAAATCCATGTGCTGTGGCGCCACGAAGGAAGTAGTCTGAAAAGACAGGAAGGGTGTTCTGTTAATGACAGCATGGGGATCGACAAAGTGCAGCATACGGTGCAAGAAACTGTGAAATATTCCTTTGGGAAAGCACTGTTGAAGTCTAAGGTATGGAGCTCCAGGGCATACTGACAAAAGGCATTTGGGAGGGACACACAACTCTGAGCTCTCCAGTGTGATGGAGACCCACCCGCCCAGGTTCGCCACCCATCCCTCGTAGCCTGATCAGCCATGTGATGAGTCTTTTTCCTCAAGTGACCCCTCCATCACACAATTCATTTTGAAGCCTGAGTTTGTAAGTGGGAAAATAATTTCAAAAATAGTAATTAAAAGTTGCTTTTCATCTGGTTATCTCTTGAAAAAAGGTTGAGTAGTCTTACTCTTTTTAATTAAACATCTACATGCATGACTAATTCTCTCTGGAAAAAACTTAAAATTTTATCCACAAACACTGTGATGCAAGGCCAAACATTTTCATTTAGACCTCATTGTATCCCCA